GCCGCCCGCGGGTGTGCGGCCGGGTGGGACCTGGGAGGCGGCGCGCGGCCCCGGCGAGGAGGGCAAGGTCGCTCTGGCACCAGGCTCTTCTGGTCTGACAGGCTCCGAGCCGGGCCGGGGCCGGGTTTTCGCAACACCCTTGGCTCGTGAAATGGGAAATTGTTTGCAGGGAAGGCCCAGCGGCCTGCATTCACGTTCATTATTCCACCCGCTCTTCAGTGAAAGGAAAAGAGGAAAGTAAAAGCCGTTTATGTGGGGCTGCTTGCCCAAGGTTGGCGGGTTCGAATCCACCAGCCGCCAGTATGCAAGTCAAAGATGAGGCAAACCTGCCCCGTAAAAGGTTTGGTTTAATTGTTTATTCAATTCACCGACCGTCTATCTGTCTTGCCAGTTTGTTGTACTGTGGTGGCTTTCCTGCAGCTGGGGTACTGGAAGCTGTGTCACTGGTGTGTCAGGTACAATGGAGACAGGTTACAGTCGAGGCCCAGGATAAAGTAGGAAGAGCTGATGAGCGACATCTGAAAATTGGGCCGTGATAGGCCTATGGGTCACAGTCATTTCCAGTGCAATGCAGAAGATGAGTCCCCAGGTTAGGAAACACTTAAAATGCACCATGACCTTAACAGCTGGAACCTGCCAACCACGTGCGAATGACACACAGCCTGACATCTTTTGCTCTGACCTCCACTGGGTGCCATGAACTGGAGCCAGCTTGATACCAACCGGTGGCAATTTAGTGAACGTCTGTCAGGAGCTATGCTGAGCCTTTTGCTTTTAATTCTCGGAAAAAAAGACAGAAAAGGAAATGTTTTTCATTCCCATTGAACAGCTAAGGCACTTGCAGGTGACAGCGGTAGAATTGAAACCTAATTCCCTGGGCTTCCACTCCCAGATACAGCACTTTGAAAGTTCAAAGCAGTTAGCCCTCCGCTAGTCATGTAGCAGGGACTCTCTGGGCTAGTGGGTCCGGAGCTGCACTGCCAACCCAAAGGCAGACAGTTTGAATCTATCGGCTGCTCTATGGAAGAAAGATAAGCAGTTTCCTCCCCTTCCATGTGATTGACAGACTCTGAAAACCCTCTGGAGGGTCAACTATGCGTCAGTTCCTGCTTGACAGCTGTAAGTGTGAGTGAAGCCTGGACTAGGGAGCTGTCGTGATTTAGTTCAAAGGGAAGTTGGACTGCTAGTCCAAAACCCCCTCCTTTTTCTGCTGTTCTAATCCACTGGCCGCTCGGTGGGAGAAATAGGGCACACTCCTCTTGTGCAATTTATAGTGGCCAGAAACCCGCTGGAGGGTCAGCTATGAGTAAGCTCAAACTCTATGGGAATAAGAGAGAGAAGTATGTAATAAAAACATTTCCCAAGTGAATGCAAGATGTAAGGTGTGTATGCCAACAGCATGATTCCAGCCCTGTGTGATCCTTCTGGTCTGTGAGCTCCCTATGATCAGGGACCATGTCCACCTATTCATTTACTTGTCTTCATGCCTCCAGGGGAGATCTGGTAGCACTGTGGGTAAGGCATTTGGCTGCAGTGATATGAACCCAGCCAGGTGCTCTATGGAAGGAAGCAGTCTGCTGCCACTGAGATTTACAGTTTCAGCAACCCACTAGGGCAACTCCACTCTGTCATATCTGGTCACTACGACATGTCATTGAGTGAAGTTGTGGTTCGAGGGTCTCCAGTACTTAGCCCTGTATTGTGCCCATGGCCATCACTCAGTACATATTTATTGAGCAAGCAAATGAAGAAATATTTTTATAAAAGAGCCCTAGTGGTCCAGTGGAGCAAGCATTGGGCTACTAACTAAAACAATGTGTTTTGACTCCACCAGCTACTCACTGAGAGAACAATGTGGCCAACTTTCCTACAGGGTCCAGGAGATGTGTTGCATTGGGAAAGTCTGCAGTCAGGGACCTCTCCAAATAGTTGAGGAGCAATGATAGTAGTTTGAGGATTAAGGTGTACCTAATTCAGACCATGATCTTTGCTATGCTGCCGAGAGCTGGACGATGACTAAGGATGACAGAAGCAGGATTGGTGTCTTTGGGCTGTGGTGTTGGAGCGGAGTACTGAATATCCCATAGACTGCCAAAAGAACAAAGAGGTCTTGAAGAAGGTGTAGCCAGAGTGCTCCTTGGAGGCAAAGATGATGAAGTGTCATCTCACATATTTGGGGCATGTTGCTAGGAGAGGCTGTTCCTTGGAGAAGTTTGGAAAAGCGGAGGGACAGTGGAGAGGAAGACCCGTATCAAGGTGGACTGACACAGTACCTGCAGCAATGGACTTGAGTATGTCAGAGATTGTAAGGATGATACGGATAGGACAGGATTCAGATCTATGTTCACAGCGTTGCTATGCATCGTACTCAACTTGACGGCATCTAACAACAACAACAACAGGGTCCCTAAGAGTCAGAATACGCTGTCAGAGTTGAGGGCAAAGAAGATAAGGCAGGACACTGAAAGTGGCAGTGGCTGGTGGTCTAAGTAGAATGAAGAGGGAAGATTTCTCTGAAGTGGCATTTGAGGGGAACAAAGGGAAGCAGAGAGCCAGGGAGTGTGGGAAGAAGCCACCGGTAATTTTGAGCAGTGGAAGGACATGCTTTAATTGATATTTTAGATGGTCCCTCAAGGTCTGGTCCCATGCAGAGTAGCACCATGACCACACCTGGATAATAACATTAGCTGATTAAAGATTTTCTGGCTTTTGAAGTGTTTGAAGTTGCTTCTGACCTGGTGTTTTATTCCTATAAAAATTAGGATACAGCGTGCTGAAACACACCCTGTTCTCATATATCAAATCGGTGACAAGGATGGGATTAAAAGAGAAAGGCGTCGGCTGCCCATCTGATAAACCAGGAGTCACTA